TAGAAGCGAGTATTTCCAGCCAGACTCACCCACCCAAAGACTAGATTGCCGGTGGGGCAGCCACATGTCAACCTTCACCCACACCTAGCTTAAAGAGAAAAAAAAATAAATAAATTAAAAAAAAAATAAAAAAAAATAAAAAAAAAAAAAATATACAAGTAGATAGCTCACCACCACACAAGCATAGACAGTACTGCAGCTCGAGCAGCAGGGCTAAGAATACTAGTTGGGACATCCCAACATTCACATAAGTAATAGCTGTAAAGGGAGAAAGCTCCCAAAGGACGTGAGGCCTTTCGCCTCTACCCCCAAGGCACGACAACGCAGTGCCACGCCAAATTTATGGCACATATATTCCTTAGGAATACCCTTGTAAATACTTTTGTTGATGTTAATGTTCTGTTATATGTTGTTCTATGTATTGCATGTACCTCACCAGTCCAATGCTTTACCCAAGAGGCGGGGAAAGGGTTAGTGGGTGACTCGACCCCAGCCACCAAAGACATATCCCAACTACCTAATGACAACCGGTACTCAGACTGTTCCGCAGGCCACGCTGGCACAATAATGAACTTACAGAGGGACTCACTGCTCCGCTCGATAGAGTTGGGGAGGGCAGCGACCCCCACATACATTGACCAATTCCATAGGTATGAGAGACACCAACCTCACAGACCACCGTGAAGCTCTGTACCTTTAATGTTAGGGGCCTCAACGCTCCGGTAAAACGCCACCTTCTAATTAGAGAGGTTAGACATATGGGGATAGATATATTATGTCTCCAGGAAACCCATTTCAGGCACAACGACTACCCAGCAATATTAACCAAAGACTTTCCACACCAGTATCACGCTACGGCACCCACTAAAGCTAGAGGAGTATCCATCCTCATCAGCAAAACAGTCTCTTTCACACGGCAGACTGTAGACATAGATCCGACTGGTAGATATATCATACTCGTGGGATTGTTTAACGATATGCTATACACCAAAGTGAACATGTACTCCCCAAATACTAATCAAAGGAATTTCTTGCACAAAATTCTAACTCAGACAGCCAAAACCCAAAAGGGCATCACGATCATAGGAGGGGACTTCAACCACATTTTTGACCCACTTACGGACACCACCCTACATGCACGTAGCAAGCATCACCGCCCCCTGAAGAGACAATGTAGAGCCATAGCAA